AAAGGGCCGCCGGAGCGGATATAGCAAAATAATGTTGGCAGCAGAGAAAATGGAAGACGGGATAGGAAATTTAGAGCTTGAGAACCCTAGAAAGATCTAGTTTTAACAAATCCTTGCGAAAAGACTTTACATCACGAGAGTAAAGTAGTTTTTGTGGTAATAAATTCATCCAGCGGGCTATTCTAATAGTGAATGAGGTCTTCCTTGCTTCAGTGCGAGCATGGGGGGATATTGAGCAAGAGTTTCTTGTTTCGACCTGTACCAATTCTAAACGTAAAGCACTTTTGCCTGGCGATATTGCATTTACCATGAAGGATCTTAAAACCCAGACATAGATCGGAAATAATCCTTCTATGATGCATAGTGGTAAGCCCAAGGAACTCGCAGCGTTTGTGATATGGTAGAGGGGGGATATGACATCGACGAAAGACCACTTTTGCTAAAGGTTTTTGGATGCGCTCGAATTTTTCGATCCAGGTTTTGGTGTGAGGTGACCAGACAGAGGAGGCAAATTCTGCTATGGGCAAAACGTATGATTTGAAGCACTTAACTAGCAGCTTAGGGTTTCGAATCTTGAGGTTTCTGAGTAGGGAAAACATAGCCCTTGTGGCTTTGAGGTGACGTTGTTCTAAAGTAGACTTGTTTTGAAGCCGGTTTGAGACTAGGATTCCTAAATCACGAACTATGGGCGCGGGTTGTAACGGAAAGTCGCCAAGGGTGTAACTAAATTTAGGGTTCCAGACGCCTTATGTCTGTTTCGGTGTTTGCGTGGGTCTGTGTCGGTTGGACGGTCCGAAAAACGCGGCTAATGGATTATTGTGATTTTTCGGATCCACGGGTCTCAACAACATTGGCCAGCTGAGCGTCCTTTGATCTGATGTTCCCTCCTCCCTGAATACCAAACCATATGTCGTCATCCCTTTTCCGCAACACTCCTCATAACGGAACAACCCGTTGTTTATGGATCTGTGTGGGTGTTTCCCAAAAGACCAAGGGGGGCCCGATAGCCAGCCAATTATCCGTGCCGATCTACCCAACGGCCATTCGTCAGGATCCCATTTCTCCTTGGGCCAACAACCAAATCGTCTACGGCTCTCCCCTCATCTATCTGCTCCGTCTATATTTTTTTGTTCGCGCTGCGGTATCTGCCCCCAGCTAAGGAGCTTGGCAGCTGGGTCTAGAGCTATTCGGGAGGGCACACATACGATGAATTATGGCCTGAATCTGGGCCCGCTAGGGGCCCAGATTGGGGCCCAGAGAAGGGGGTGTGAGGGCCAATGAGCCGATCTGGGGGGCAGGGCTGCTTCTTTACACGCCCCCACCTGGTGGGGGGATACACGAATTTGGACACGCGGGATAAAGCTATTTTTGGGAGTTAGGAAGTGATATTTTTGGGATAAGATTCTCCGGGTGGTGCGTTTTGAGTGTGTCGCTAATTTTTGTGAGAAATGGGCGATTATAAGTCTCATAGGGCAAGCTTTGGAAATTACTAAAGAATCACTCTCGCTGCATCTTATTTTAAACCTTCTGGATTTCCGTTGATCTCTAAAAAATACCGGAAGCCTTAGAGTAGATTTTGGCAGTTAATCTAATAGTACATTACGTGACTATATCTATATACTTTATACGACATGTTTCTGTGGCGTGGGGAAGAGGCAATGTCTTTTAAACGTGCTTTCACGAACTAGAGTTGCTATAGCGTATTCATGCTTTTTGGATCAATGATGATGCCCATTTTTTTCAAATGTGGATCATTATTTATACTTGATGATCGGCTTTTCGTTAACCCATTTCCAGAGTGATTTTTGCAAAGCCGCAAGTAGATAAGATCCAGATGCCGTAAGGGAAATTTTTGAACGATCGAGCGATTTTATCGCTTAGGCTCCATGGAATCGTGTAGCTTAAACCTTTAGTTTTAACATCTGGAAAATGAAAATGAAAGATAATGAAAAATGAGTCGGTCTGGTCGTATTGCAGGGCCAACGCTTTTTTTACACGCTCACACCTGGTGGTCGGTGGATAGACAATTTGAATCTGCAAATTCGGAAATTGCAAATTTTTTGTCGTCACGTCGCGAAATTGAATGTGTTTCCATTGGTCGCCGTATCCTTTCCATTTGAATTTGGCTATTTTGGTGATCATTCAATCTTTTTTAGAGATATGCCCCTCCACTTTCCTTTAGAAATCTCACTAGAGTCCCGCTCTACCTGGAGAAGAGGAGGGGACCGAGAAGCGCTGCAAGCACGGGAAGGAAACTAGTTTCCTGCCCGGCAAAACTCGCATCATTTCTCTTCAATTTTTGAGGTCTCTGGAATCAGTTATTGCAGGGGACTGTAATCAGCTATTCATATGCGTTAGGAGGGAATTGATTTTTTTAATTTAGTGAGCGGCCTAACCTAACCTAACCAAATCATTATTCAATTGAATTTAAAGGTGCAGCGCAAGTAATAGTTTTGCATAGATTTAGCTTGGATCGGCTTTGCATTTCCTATCGGCTTGATTGCGTTCGAGCCATTCGTCTACGTTTTGTTGCGTAAAGGATTACGAACTTCACTTATCGCAGCGGTCAAGCGTCGCGTTTCGAGCGGGGTTTTTCGTGCCTTTCGTGTTGCTTCATGCGTCATGTTGCGTATGGCGCCCTGCGTCGCGTCGTGCATGGCGCCACATACTTAGTTATTGCGCATAGCGTTGCGTACATACTCGTCGCGCGTCGCCTGACGTGCCGCGTCACTTATCGCATTGCGTAGACGCGCCCTGGGACGCGCGCCCTAGGCGCCTCAGGTGCAACGGCTTCTTAACTTTGATAAACTTTACGTTCTGCTTTCTGAACTCATCATCCTCAAAATCAGACACCCCCGATTTTTCACTTTTGATTTTTTGACCTTCCGCTTTTGAATGAAATCTATTCGAAGCGCAACGTCGTCTCCTTTTCCCTTCCTGTCAATACCAAGGTAATTTTCGTGTCGTTTTGAGTGGGGAAGGGGCTGAATTCTCGATTATCTTTCGGGGAAGGTGAGGAGTAGAAAGGGGTTGTCAAGTGCAGAGAACGGGCAAACCCAGAAGCCGGGATTTGGCTGGGTGGCTGGCCCTTCAGAAGCGTCGTCGCCAAGCCGGATCTTCCTTAAGTTGGGTGTATCTTGCATAAAGGAGTATTTCGTTATAAAATAAATGATATTAACATCATCTTAAGACTAAAAGGTATTTATTTTAATCTAAATTAATTTGTACAAATTTCTCGAAAAAATGTTTGCCAATTTTTTATCGGTTTTTTCAAAAATGTAATTTTCTTGCTATTTTCGATGCAATTTTTTGCATGCTTATTTAAGGCAAGAATGATACCTAGAAACATTTTGCCCTGGTTTCTCAATTTTTAGGTTTTGATAGCAAGCTTAATAGCAATTTTCCACTATTTTTAATGACAAAAACAGAGCTGTTCCCCATTTCCCTGCCCTCGCCAATTTGCCCAAAAACCCCTTGGAAACCCTGCTCATTTTCGCACCCTAATTTGGGATCATCAGGCTCACCGCCTTGTTGTTTTGCCATCATTTTCATTTTTCTTCTGCTTTTCTGCTTTTTAAAGGCAAAAGATCCTTTCATAGATTCTTCTTTCATTTTTTAGTACTTGAATTTTTGGGAAAAATGACGCTGCAAGACCTGATCGCGAAATACCGGGGCAACCGGAAGATTTTGCTGTTGATCGTTTACATTGCGTTGTTTTTGGATAATATGCTGTTGACAACAGTTGGTAAGAGGTCTCTAGTGATACCTTAAAAAACTTAAACTTTAGTCCCAATCATCCCAGAGTATCTGCTCCGGTTATCGCATCCGAACGAGACGGATCTGTTGCTTTATAACAAGGTAAGACGCATTAAAGGGGCGTGCAAGGCTTGGTGCTCAAATTTGCCGCCACGGTTTACATCGCGTAACGGATTACGACATACTTTCGGGCGAAAAACGCGCGCGTCACGTCGCGCGGTCGTGGGCAAGCCCTCCCTAAATCAGCAGCCGAGAAATGGATACCTGTGCCTGGCCTGCTCCTTTAAAAAAACTGAGAAAGACTCTAAATAAATCATAATTTATTATAAAAATAGTTATAAAATTTTAAATGCCTTTAAAAACCTATTTTTTTAGCCATCTGAAGTCTCCGATCACGTTCGAGGAAAACGCGGGTCCGGCTATTGGGATGAGAGTCAGGTATCGAAAAATTTTCAGCCTTTTAAAGTGTCCATAGGCCTTAAAAAGTGCAGCTTTCGATTCAAAACTCAAAAATCTATACTATTTTTAGGACTGGGACCTCCCAGTTGACGACGAGGATCGGAAAATTCCGTGGGAATCCAGCCCGTTGGGGCCGAAAAGCAAGAGCAAGACAAAAGGACGAACAAAGTCCAAGGCCAAGGTGGGGGAATCTGATTTATGCCATCAATATTTAAGCATTTTAGAATCCCTTAGCACCAAAGACCAAGCAAAGACCGAAGCAGTCACCGAAAGATGAGGGTAAGGATAACCAGAAATTATTACAATTTGCTTTCTGAATTCGATGCTCCTTTAGGACCCCCACCTGGTGCACCAGACAACGAACACCGGCATCAAGTCCTGGCAGAAGAAAATGTGCACGTCGGGTTGATGTTCGGTTCCAAGGCGTTGATCCAGCTTCTCGTTAACCCGTTGGTTGGGCCTATGACTAACAAGTGAGTGACAGAGAGAGACAGAGAAAGAGCGAGAAAGAGAGAGATAGAGAAAGAGAGAGCAAGAGAAAGAGAGGTACATCGTATACTTTAGAATTGGCTACACGATGCCAATGTTCTGGGGTTTTGTCATCATGTTCCTTTCGACGGTGATGTTCGCGTTCGGGTCTTCCTATGGAACTTTGTGGCTCGCCAGGGCGATGCAGGGTATTGGATCGGCTTGCACCTCGACCTCAGGCATGTTGTTTTGAATGGTGTTTACCGTTTCGGGTTTCTTCGACGGACATGAGATCAAGATTGAAAAATTCTTAAGGTATGGGAATGCTGGCCCAGGCGTATCCAGACGATGCCGAACGCGGGAGCGCTATGGGAATCGCTTTGGGAGGCTTGGCGTTAGGTAAGTTTAAGGTTAGGCTTATTCTTAAGCTATCGTAAGTAGCAATGTTCCTTTAGAACCCTGCGCTGCAAAGCAAAGTCTTGGCTTTTCCCCAAGGGTGTCTGCTAGCTTGCCCTGCTTTTGCGCACTTGAACGATAAATTTTAGGTGTGCTTGTGGGCCCACCCTACGGCGGAGTACTCTATGAATGGGCTGGAAAACCACTGCCTTTCATTCTGTTGGCCTTATTGACGTTATTCGACGGAAGTGGGTTTTTACAGGCCGTAGCTCTTCACCAAAATCTTTAAATAGCTTAAATTTACAAATCACTTTGAGAAAAATCTTAAATCTTATCTTTCCAGGTCTCCAATTCATGGTCCTCCAACCCAAAATCGATCGTGGCGAGCCGGAGGGTAGCTCGATGAAGCAGTTGGCCAAGGATCCTTATATTATCGTGGCTGCTGGTAGGTTTAACATCTTTGATTATTGTTGTATTTGCTTAATCTACCTTCACATACTTTTTAAAGGCGCCATCACGATTGGTAATCTTGGAATTGCCATGCTTGAGCCCTCACTACCACTTTGGATGATGGAATCGTGGCAGGCTGGGTCTTTTGAGAGGGGTAACGAATACTGTATAATTCAAGAAATTTGCAAAATTCTAATAATACTATGTAGTCTTCAATTTCCGCTTGTTTCTTTAATACAAACTAATTTAATAAATAGTTAAAAAAATTAAATAAACTGAATTTTCAGGTATCGCCTTCCTACCCGCTTCGATCTCGTACCTTGTTGGGACGAATATTTTCGGGCCTTTGGCCCACAAGATGGGACGGTAAGTTTTAGAAACCTGAAAATTTGAAAATGTATGCCGTAACTCGATCCATTTTTATGATGCTTTTTACTTAATCATACCGTTAAGCTACTGACTGACCGCAAAGCTTAGCCAAAAAAAAATAGAATTAATCCACCAGCCTTTTTTCAGATGGTTATCCGCCTTCATCGGCCTCGTCATCATCGGCTTTTGCCTATTGCTTATTCCTTCGGCAACTTCAGTCGGAGGCCTGATTATCCCACATCTTTTCATGGGGTTCTCGATTGGTAGGTCGGCTTCATTGAATTCAATAGTCTATAAAAACTTAACTTTTTTAGGTAGTTTTAGTGTGGGTGTCGGGTTCGAAACGTATTTTTAGGTATGATCGACGCATCGATGTTCCCATTGATGGGTCATCTGGTGGACCTCCGCCACGTCGGTGTCTACGGCAGCATTTACGCGATAGCTGACGCGGCTTTCTGCTTTGCATTTGCACTTGGGCCCTTCTTCTCTGGACCCTTGGTGCGGTCAGTGGGATTCCCGACGTGAGTTTCGATACCGTAAACTGGGCAAACATACGGAATACTGAAATGCTGAAATGAATACTGAAATTAGCTTTTCCTAATTCATTAGTTTCCATTAAAACCCTATAAAGCTGCGCATAAAACTTTAGAAACCCCATTTTAGTATGATGTACATAATCGCGATCATCAACTTCATCTACGCGCCGTTGATGTTCATGCTGAGGAGTCCACCGCCGATTATTCGGGAAAACGAGGTAAGGAATAGGCACCTGTTAGACAAAATGGAAGACTCCATCCCTTAAAATTACAGTACAGGCACTTGGTTGAAATTGTGAAGTAAGTCTGCATCGGAATTACGTTAAAGTTTCTAAACCACGTATAAAATATCTTGAAAACTTCAATATCCTCAGCTTATCAGTCTTTGTGTATTTATAAAACATGGCACTAAGTGGTCACTTTGATGCCACTATTTATAGAAAAATACAAAGCTTATTTTTGTTCATCAACTGCCGATTTTCGATATTCTCGAAATCTTTGGATTTTGCAAATGAAGACATGCACATCAGCCTCACCAGTATAGCGACAAATCTAGTTTATCCATTCTTGATATGTTGATAGAAGAGCATACAGCACAATTCTGTTAAAACTTTTCGGTTGAAAACTTGATTTTCGGTATTTTCCATACTATGCGGATTTCGCTTTTTATCAAACCTATCATCCAATTGATTTGCATTTTTGTTCCCATTTCTAATTGATTTATTTAATCTGTTAATTGCCTTTTTAGGCAAGTGCCGTATCAAATGGCGTGACGGCCCAACTCCCGGCTACTAATGACAACTACCAAAAGATTGAGGGAACCGATGCGGCTCGGATGCAGGGGTATCAATACGAATACTAACTGGAGGAAACTGTGTGTTTTTTGTTATATTTCATGCTTGTATAATTTATTCAGATGTCACTTGAATCACAGCAATAGTTCTACAAAATTTTTCATCCAAAAATTAGCCAAATTTTTTCTTTTATTTTTTATTTAAATTTTGATATAGTCAATTGTATTTTTGAATATTTTATCATTTTTCTACACGTAGTGGACTATAAATAAGGTTTGACGTATCGGTTTTGAAAATTATTTTTAGATGGAAAATTGACTATCAGAAAGTTAGGGGTCCCATTAGTGCATCAACAACTTGTCAATTTCCTATTCCATTAATTTTTTTTATTGGAGGCTTACTGTACTTTTTTAATATGCCTCGTCTTACCTAATTTTTTTGGTAACTTTTTAATGTATTTTGCACATTTTTCCTGTCGCCATCACTCACCGTTTCTCTTGCTATCTCTTGACTTATTTTTCTAGAGCTTCACCATCCATTTAGAGCATTAAAATCCACCGTATTCTGTACTTCCGCGTCGCTCGGCAAACCAGCAGTGGAGGAGGTCTCCACTCATCTATGAATCTCGCTTCTCGGTGCCATCTCTCTTTTCTTAGTGTTGCCCCGTTGAATCTAGTCGTTTTTTCCTGTATGAAAAGAGACCACACAATATTACCTACAGAAAATGGCAACGCAACACGCAACGCAACACGCGACGGAACCGACGATAAAGTGCCCCGCAGAGTATTTGAAATTTGGTTGCACTTAAAAAATAAGCATTTGCATTTTTCAAGTTTGAAGAGTATTTGTAATGTATTAAAAGCTGGTCTAGTAGTCAAAAATAACTTTAATAAAATTCAAGGTACATACTTTTAGATTTAACTGACAAATGTAATCAAGTAACGCAGCACGTACGTAACGCGCAAGGCATCACGGAATGGACCGGACCGCAGCGTAGTTCGCAATTGATTAGGCGCTGAGGAGATGGAGCAAATGTTGAGGGTATTTCTCGTTTAGTAAAATGTGTTTTTTTATTAGTAAAGTGCTAACTTTAATCTAGTTATTCAAGTCAGAAGCCTGTGAGGTTAGAAGTAGATTCGTTTTAGAAACAGTCCTGGTAGGTAATTACCCACTAAAAAATCTACCTTCTATGCCAGAACTTCGGCTACGTGACCAAAATACAGTCCGTGCAAAACCCCGGGCAGCACCCGGTGGTCGGCTCCGAAATTCCGCCACGTTAGATGTTTACGTTCTGCCCCATATAGGACAAATTAACAGCTCAAAGTGTGCGCAGCAGCCTTCCGGAATTCGGCACCCAAAAGCCGTCCAAAAAAAGCTGGGAAACTAAATAATTTTTTTGCACGGCGGCTGGCCACGACTCGGGCGATGTACCGCAGCGGAATTCCGAATGTTTACGCAGCTACACCTCGCAGATCGTCGCCACCAACGAGTGGCATCGCGAGGGGGGACGGCTATCTCAAAGAAAAAGCTGATAGCAAGATTGTAGGATACAGATACATGGATGATATACTTATACTTTACAAAAACTCCATTGATATTGAAAAATATCTATCCGAAATTTACCCCAAAGAACTTACATTAGAACGAACAAACTCTAGAAATGATTGCGGAAATTTTCTAGACCTAAAAATCTACACTCAAAACAATATAACACATACCGAATTATATAATAAAGTAGATGATTATAAATTTAAGGTCACACGCCTACCAAACTATTGCTCAAACATCTCCTACTCTATCAAACACGGGTGCGTGGAAGGAGAAATTATCAGAATAGCTCGAAAATGCTCCCAGCAAAAAGATCTAATTAAACACATAAAACTTTTACTAACTCATCTACAAAATAATAGTTACCCTACGCTAGTTTTATATGCCCTTTGCAAAAAAATTTTCACTAAATACCCGGTACTTAGTCTCAAACACCAATGCAATCCAAAAAACATAGTTCATTTACTAAAATAGTCGAATATAAACCCTATTAGATAAATTTAAAATATTCACTTTCTATAATTTATCACTTTACCATTTACTTTATCCTTTTCCATTCACTTTTCGACTTCTTTCAACCATCAACACATTTTCTAAACCAAACGCGCCAGACCATTACGCCATGTATATCTCTTTTCTCTGCCCCCTCTCTCTGCCCCATGATACCTACCCCCACGCGGGAACTCAAAAATTCCCCACCGCAATCTAGTTAACCTTCTCAAACAAATACTTCATTAACCTTTAATTTTCATCTAACAAACCTTTCCTATCAAAATTTATCTAATTTCCTTCGCTAGGGATTCCAACTGAGGATGACCCGACCCTAGTGTAAATTGCCTGTCTTGGACAAGGGTCGAAACAGGCCAATTAATTTACTTTCTTTAGCCAAACTCCATATTGGAGTAACCATTTTTTCTCATTTACATGATTTTCTTTAATCTTAGCTCAATATATTTATCATTTCCTTTCATTTATAGTTACCTATGTTTACCCGACCCGTAGGGGAAACCCATGGACGGGATATTCATAGTGTATTCTACTTTCCTAACATTTCCTTTTCCATTATACTTTCTTTTAATCATGTTTTCTACCCAGTCCTTTTACATTATTTTCATACACATTCTCTCAGTTGTAGTCTCCTTTTGGACTCCGCCCTCTGGGTTTTACGCTCTTCGGAGCACCGCCCTTCGGGGTTAAACCGCTCTTCGGAGCACCGCCCTTCGGGGTTAAACCGCTCTTCGGAGCACCGCCCTTCGGGGTTAAACCGCTCTTCGGAGCACCGCCCTTCGGGGTTAAACCGCTCTTCGGAGCACCGCCCTTCGGGGTTAAACCGCTCTTCGGAGCACCGCCCCTCGGGGTTAAACCGCTCTTCGGAGCACTGCCCTTCGGGGTAAAATCTACCCTTCGGGGTAAAATCTACCCTTCGGGGTAAAATCTGCCCTTCGGGGTAAAATTCTCGGTTCCTAAGGAACCATTTCCTTTAGAAAAAACTATCTCCTATATTCTTTTACACCGTAATATTTCTTTTAGTCTTATCTTAGTCCAAAACAAAACTTAAATTCTTTAATATACTCCTTAAACTTTACTTTATCATAATTTTCAATTACCCACTTCTCTCTACCTACTTCTACAAAACCTGCCCACTTTTAACTAGCTCTTTCCTTCTATATACCTAATCTCAATGTACAAAACAACAAATTAAACCAACGATTAAGCCGATATACTTAAATAATTCCTTCCAATGAGCCTTAGCCATAATTTTTACAACTATAATTATTATTACACTTTTCACCCAGAAGCGATGTTATGTTAACAAAATTGTTACTAACCGTGCCGTTTGGTGATCTGGTTCAAGAGGTTATCGGCATACGTTTAGGTCGTTGGATAACCGCCTTGCTCATTCGGCCTTACCGCTGGGAATCGTATGCTTCCTAGCACGGCGCTGATGAGGCGCAAATTACGACCAAACCATTGGGTATTCTAACGTCGGACCCCTTTGGTATACTTAGACGTGTCAACACTTTAAAACCCTCTCTCTCTTATTATGGGCTTGTCGAGCATAATTCAACAAAAGTAGGTAGAAAAATGAATTTCATTGATAAAGAATATAGTGATAAAATAGGTACAAAATGCAACAGAAGTAATTGTACTACTTGTAAGGATCTAGAATTTGAAGCTATTATACATAGTAACTCCACTAACTATTATACCAGAACCAACCAATATAATCAACCTAATTGTCAAACACAAAATGTGGTATATTGTCTTACTTGCAAAATCTGTAATCTACAATACGTAGGCGAAACATCTAGAAAAGTCACCCAACGCATGTATGGTCACAAATATTCTATCAAAAAGAGAAAATCCGGATTCATCTACGATCACTATCGTACTCATTTTCCTAATGGACAAACAGATAATATGTTTCATATACACATTTTGGATGATCATATAGAAAATGAAGATAACCAAATACGTACAGACAAAGAACTATACTGGATAAAACTTCTAAATACTGCCTATCCATTTGGACTGAATGATAAAATTAAAGGTTACGGAGTTATATCTAATCCCAATGGAAAATTATCCACCCAATCGCCATATTTCGCTCTTAAAATTAAACCACCACCACGTAACAGAGGTATACGCAAAAACAAACGTAAGACTAAATCCTATAATTTTGATTTCAATCAATTCAAACTAACACAACTTAAAGCTAACGAAATTAGAAATATTACACACAATTTACCTAAAAAAATGTACGGAAAATTAACACCTTACTTAGAACATCATAACCCAATTGTCAAAGCTTTTGCAAAAGCCTCTATCCATAAGTACAGTCAAATCGAAAACCAAGTAAAACCAAAAAAGAAACATCCTAAAATACGTATAAAAGTCCCTTATCTAGAACCAAGTATAGAACGAATTAATTGTAAAAGAATTATTAAAGAATACCTAAATAAAGCAAAAATAGAATTCAACACTGACTTCCAAATAACTTATGAATATAACCCAACCTTAGGACAATTGTTATTTAACTATAATAAATTTCTCAATAAACTTGGAAACAATCATATTAAACGTAATTCTACTCACTGTAATAATTGTTTCGATTTCCAGAATCAAAATAATAGTGTTAACCACAATGGACAAACACACGTGCTTACGGGCGATAGTAATTCACTTTCTAAACACTTCCCAAACACCTATGAAATACTCAAATTAGGCACTAAGTTCCGACCTAGTTTGAATTACACTCAAGAAGATGTAAAATATAAAATGATTGCACAATTTGGTAAAGAAATCTCTAAAATAGCTAAAAACGTTAATTTTCAACAAATCAGTAGTGATTTAATCAATTTAATTACTAATTATTGTAGTAATAAAGAGACTACTAAGCTAGACTGGAATGAGATAAGATTATTGCAGAGAAAATTCATAATTACTAGCGTAGATAAAGCAACTTCTAACTTTGCAATAATCTGCCCACTTCTTTACCAACAATTTATTGATAAAGAAATGGGAATACAAAATGGACTTCCTAATGGTAACGAAACTTATATACCATATACGATTGAGAACGAAGAAAATATAATTAAAAGGCATATCAACACACATCTTTTATTTAAAATTATCCCACCAGAGACGCCAAGCCTACCCAAAATATACGGACTACCTAAATTCCATAAACACCCCATTAAATTCAGATTTATTACTGGTGCATATAATAGCTCAATCAAACCCATTTCTATTACTTTACATCGTATCCTTAACTTTATACGCCAACACTTACAACGATACTGCTCAGTAATAGCAAATAATACGAACAAAATAGTATATTGGTCTATAAATAACTCCAACCAAGTCAATTTGCTAGAGAATCACGATAAAAATAATATATATATATTGCAGATTTTAGTAGTCTTTTTACTAATCTTCCACATTCTATCGTGACCCAAGCCATTGATGGTATCCTAGAAATTTGTTTTAAAAACTCTCAAAAGAAATATATAAAAATGGGATACAAATCTTGCTATTATACAAACGAAAACCTTGGTAATAATATCTTTGGAAAAAACGAAATCATGTATCTAGTTAACTACGTACTAAGTAACAGTTTTGTAACCTATAAACAATTACTTTTTCAACAAAAACAAGGTATCCCTCAAGGACAAAACTGTAGCCCTATGCTAGCAGACCTAACTTTAACGTATTATGAATACATTTATCTCAAAGAAAAAGCTGATAGCAAGATTGTAGGATACAGATACATGGATGATATACTTATACTTTACAAAAACTCCATTGATATTGAAAAATATCTATCCGAAATTTACCCCAAAGAACTTACATTAGAACGAACAAACTCTAGAAATGATTGCGGAAATTTTCTAGACCTAAAAATCTACACTCAAAACAATATAACACATACCGAATTATATAATAAAGTAGATGATTATAAATTTAAGGTCACACGCCTACCAAACTATTGCTCAAACATCTCCTACTCTATCAAACACGGGTGCGTGGAAGGAGAAATTATCAGAATAGCTCGAAAATGCTCCCAGCAAAAAGATCTAATTAAACACATAAAACTTTTACTAACTCATCTACAAAATAATAGTTACCCTACGCTAGTTATATATGCCCTTTGCAAAAAAATTTTCACTAAATACCCGGTACTTAGTCTCAAACACCAATGCAATCCAAAAAACATAGTTCATTTACTAAAATAGTCGAATATAAACCCTATTAGATAAATTTAAAATATTCACTTTCTATAATTTATCACTTTACCATTTACTTTATCCTTTTCCATTCACTTTTCGACTTCTTTCAACCATCAACACATTTTCTAAACCAAACGCGCCAGACCATTACGCCATGTATATCTCTTTTCTCTGCCCCCTCTCTCTGCCCCATGATACCTACCCCCACGCGGAAACTCAAAAATTCCCCACCACAATCTAGTTAAACCTTCTCAACCAAATACTTCATTAACCTTTAATTTTCATCTAACAAACCTTTCCTATCAAAATTTATCTAATTTCCTTCGCTAGGGATTCCAACTGAGGATGACCCGACCCTAGTGTAAATTGCCTGTCTTGGACAAGGGTCGAAACAGGCCAATTAATTTACTTTCTTTAGCCAAACTCCATATTGGAGTAACCATTTTTTTCTCATTTACATGATTTTCTTTAATCTTAGCTCACTATATTTATCATTTCCTTTCAAGTACTAGAGTTGCTAAGCTTTTGAATTATGATATTTTAAGATTACCATTGATAAGTGGTTCTGAGGTAGATTCCAATATGCTCCGAATTATGACATTTTAAGAACAAAATCTTACATACCTATTAAACGATAAATTATGGCCCAAAAACTTGGGACTATCCAATCGCTACGAGCCCTGGCTATATTTGTCGTTTTGCTGTACCATTTGAATGAGCGATGGATGCCGCATGGTTTTTTGGGAGTGGATATGTAAGAATTTAAAGCCTTGCTCAGATTTCTGAATTTATAAGCCAAGTCAAAATTAAACTCAAGCAAATTCCGTATCGTAATTCGTCCAGAGGGAATCTGCTTATTTAAGAAAGGCTAACTTTTTTGAAGCTGAAGTTGTCGTTGGAAAATGACTTTCAGAGCCTAGTGAAATCAAGATCAATTAAAGGGGTTGAGTCGCCAGTATCGACCCCTTGCTTCCACTAGTCTCGACAAATATAAATCGCTAAAATATGGGCAAAATGGTTTTAATTGACCACTAATTGAATGCCGCCGCAAACGTCACTTGTCGTCATGCGTATCCGTCTAGGCCTTGTCGATAAACTGAGATGTTAGAGATTTTCGATTCAAATCTACTCAAAAGCTCTTGAGGAAGGCTTTTCGTAGTGGTCACTTTTTGGCGGTAGAAGCCTAGCCGACGTAAAGGCTCTATTTTCATACAATCCTCTAAACCTGCCAAGCTGATTTTTCAGGTTTTTCGTCATCTCCGGCTACCTGATGGCCCGAATATTCTTCAACAAGGGTCTATCCCTTGAAAATATGCTCGAATTCTACAAGAGACGGTTTAAGAGGATTATGCCTTGCTATGGGTAACCCCGGAAACCCCCAGCCAAGTTGATTTTCCTAGAATTTGCATCGCTACCGTAGTCTGGGCCGGGCAGTTGGCATTGTCAGATGTGGATAAGGAGAACTTGTTTGCGGATTCATGGTTTTCGCTAGCAATTTCGTCGAATTTACAACCGTTTTTTGAGAAGATCGACTACTGGAGGATGGTAAGGAGGAGCTTTTAAAGGGAGGGTGACAGGCAGAGTCAGCGGTCCGGCGCAGACCGGATGGTCAGAGTAATCGTCATTCTAGTCATTTTTAATCATAATTTATCGTTTTCTGACTTTAAAATTGGTTAAAATAAGGAGGTTAAGGAGTTTCTAGAGCAGAATATACTAAAAATACGGTAACCTACCTGCTTTAGATCTCCGAATACAAATTCTTGGCCCATACCTGGTCGCTGGGATGCGAGATGCAATTCTACCTAATCGTGCCCATTCTTTTCTGGCTGTTGCGCAAATTTGAGTACGGCGGGCAAGCAATTCTCACCACAATTTTGGCTATTTTTTCTATGATTTTAACTTTGGTAAGCTATACTTTTAGTTGTATCTAATTTAAGGTATAGGTGCTACCGCCCGGCGAGGCATTCGGCTTCGTCCTCTGTCGACTTTGGCAATTTCTGATCGGCATTTTTGTGCATCTGCATATTTTGGAAAACGCCGAGTCGGAATCGGCTAATCCGGGCTACGAAAAATTGGCATTGTTAGAGGAAGAGGCTGGGAAATCAGAGATATGCTATGGTGATTTATACAGAGTAGAAAAACTACAGTTTTTAGGTAATAAATGCGAAGGGAGAGCCGGCTCGATAGCTATAATTTGCTTCTTGGTTTGCTTAATTTTGGCAGCCGATCCATTCTTGCCGGCCTGGATATCGAGACCCGTTGTTACGGTGCTAACCGGAGTAATTATACGATATTCACAGATAGGTAAAGAAAGGGAGAGAGAGGAGAGAGAGAGAGAGAGAGAGAGAGAGAGAGAGAGAGAGAGAGAGAGGGAGAGAGAGTGAGCGACAGAGGAAAGATAGGCCGAAAGAGAGCGAAAGAGAAAGAGAGCGAGAGAGAGAGAGAAATATAGTCAGACAGAGAGATGGAGAGAGAGAGCGAGAGAGAGAGACAGGGAGAGAGAGCGGTTGAGAGTAGAGGGATAGAGAGATATCAAGTAAAAAACAACCAATTCCAGCCGAAACGAAATGGCTAACCTTCCAACCCCTGCCCTATATCGGCGATATATCCTATGTAATGTACCTCATCCACTGGCCAGTTATCACTTTTGCCAAAGAATTATACTACGACGGGATCGATATTGACGCATACGGTAGTCATATAATTTAAAACAAAAAAAGCCGGATTTTTAGGCTACGGCATGATGGTTGTCCTAACCATCACATTGACAATTCTGGCTCATCATCTGGTTGAAAATCCCTTGACACTGGTTTCGGTATGAATGGCCAACCTGTAAAAATTACAAATCTAGGCCCGTTTCTGCCTTTGGATCACGGCATTCGCTTATATCATGGCGGTGGTTGGGATGTATCTGCCTTTAAATGGTGGAAATGAATCCGAAGAACCGAAATTCTTGGCCCAGCCAAGCTATAATGTTACGGCAAAAGGTAAGGTGACTTTGATGGCTAGGTAGTACCAGTACACTTCCCTACGCCTCAGTACCTCGCGTTACGCTATGCGACGTTTCAGCACGTTCCAATTCGTTCCAGTACGGTCGAATACGGCTTGTTACCTTTTCAGACTGCGATGCCCTGAACACAAAACCTGAAAATCCGGGTGGGAAAATGTGACGTTGTCTGAGACGGGATACTTTAAGCTATTGGTAAGTTTTGGTCCGATTTACTTACTGAATTTGTATTCTGATTTTCGAGTATTTTTAATAAAGTATGAGCACTTGATGCATTTAGAAAGGGAAAGGGAAATTCGATGTTTTTGTGGCCGGAAATTCCTACCTACAAAAATACCGTAGATGGCCGGACAAGATTTTCCGAGGTCGCTATCGGAAGTATTATCATATGGATGGAGATAGTAAGTTTACAACGCCAGAGAGAGAGAGAGAGAGAGAGAGAGAGAGAGAGAAAGAGAGAGAACGAGAAATTGATATGCTTTTTCAGCTTGTGTCCCATTCTTCAACTACACCGGAATTCACAGCATGGGCTGGGGATGCGAAAGTTTTACCAAAAAGTTGTTGCTGAATGGAGGAGATCAAACCCAAAATCACAATGCTGGTCCTCGGGTTTGAAAACTTATCTTCTAAAGAAAACTTGGATTTTTCAGCTACGGCCTTGCCAACGAATTGGGCGAAAAGCATTTTGAGCGGATGCTTCCGTTTGCAAAATCAACAATCGCAAAGCTATCGTAAGTCATCGTACATCGTAAAATGAATTTCTGAACGTCTAAAGGAGCTTAACGGACTATCTGTTAATCACACTACCAATGTACTACGTTGATGAAGAAATCGCGCATCGTTATGCCAGGAACTTCCGGCAGAAGGGTGTGATTCGGAGAGGAACCAGACTAGGTTTTGTATGAGGTGAGGGTGAGGTATTTAGGATTCTGTCGATAAAAGCACCTGATCGATAGCAAGAAAAGCTCACCATTCGTGCACAAACGTGAATCGGAATTGAAACTGCTTTTCCGCAGGTCTTCCTTCATTTGGCGCTGCGCCTTTCTCTACAAATAGTTTGCCAGCCGGATTTTTCGCTTGGAGTCCGGCTCAATCACTTGCCTAAAAGTTGCAGCCGATTAGCAGCCATCGATTAAACAGCTCTATGCCAAATTTGTAGTTTGTATCATCTGTTTCTCTTGAAATCGACACCTTTTCAATAATTAAAATTTCCAGGACTACCTCGAGCAGTGTGCCCCGACTCTTACCCTGATTGGTGAGGCCGCGAAGGGCTGCCCAAACTGCCGCTTCATCGACACACAATCGATATTTTGCGAGGACGGGTAAACTACTTAATACTAGAATCACTTTCATGCTCTAGAATCCACTGCGACGTGTTCGATTACGACTGCCAAAAGCTGCTCTACGATTGGGGGAGGCAGACATCCTACGGACTATGGGAGGAGTCGATATCAGGTTAGTAATTTAAGGTCATAGGATTTACTAGGCATCATTATCATCATCACGATTTAGCTCGCTAATAGTCATAGTTGCTATAATTTTCGTAGCTTCATGTTTTTATTACTAATTTTCACGTTATAGCCAGCATACGAATTTGTGGTAAACCGAGTGTACGAGGAGATTGGCTATAAGGAAGACGCAACAGCATCAGAGGAAGAGTGACGGGTGTTATATAGCCTAAGTTTTTATTATATTAACCCGGGTCTGAGTCAGTAATATCGCTAGAATAAATGATAAAATTTATCAAAATTGTAATGCGATATGTACATCCTAATAATAAAAATTTTTATACAATTATTTCAACATTTTGTTAAGTTGATCAAAGTAGATTTCGTTACTTTCGTGGCCATTAAAAATCATGCGTTTTCCATACACATCCAGGACGGTAGTTTGGGGGCAAATCTTAAACTAACGTCTGCTACACGCTAGTAGGAACGAAAATCAAGCTTCTAGCTTAAAAGCCGATACCTTTAACTTGCGAGTCAGCGACCAAGAGAGAGAGAGAGAAGAGAGAGAGAGAGAGAGAGAGAGAGAGAGAGAGAGAGAGAGCAGTAATTTGGTTGTTCTATCAGTTCCACATTTTATTAAACTGATCAAAGTACATATCGTCTCTTTCCACTCCATTAAAAATCATCCGTTTCCCGTAGGCATCGCGGACGGCGGCTTCAGGAGTTACCTAAAACGGTTAAATTACCTAGAATTAGCATTGTAAAAACTCTGTTACCTTCAACTTCCTCCGGAGCATAGAATATAAATTGAGCCTAAGGTTTCGGATCGCGAATGCAGTAATGTACATTTGTACGATAATCTAAATCAAAAACTAGAGAACGAGCGAGGTGAGAGAGATAGAGTGAGAGAGAGTGAGAGAGTGAAAGAGAGAGAGAGAGAGAGAGAGAGAGAGAGAGAGAGAGAGAGAGGGACTACGATAAACCCACTTGAATCTGCATAAAGTAATAGAAGAAAAACGTAAAAAACTGTTGCTGCTCCTCATTCCTACACATAAATAGCTGATACCACATCACGATGCAAAAGCTAGTGACGCACTAAAAATACCAAAAAGGTGTAGTAAACTTTCGGCATTTTCTTACCTTATAAGGTGCCAAAAATAACAATGTTCTCGAACTTTTAAAATTCTCCTGCGTGCGATACCTTAAAAACAACAATATTTTCACTTTTAATTTTGAAGGACCTGTCCTCAATAGTGCTGTACTTTTTGTATAGATTCTTCTATAAAGTTGCCTGCTGATGACGTAGAGACTGATGAAAACCTGAAAGGCTATGTAGCGAAAGATTGGTCTTTTATAGTTCAGAATCATTCTAAGATACTTACAAAGATAGCGATCGTATAGGTAAAATAAATTAGCGCAAATGTCTTGCTTTCACTGATCCACTGGTTGTAGAAAATGACCAGTTCAAAGAAGGCGCCAAATACCTGAAAGATTTCTCATTGACGGCGACTCGTTCTCTCTCCCTCAATCTCTCGCTCTTTCTCTCTCTCTCACTCCCTCTCTCTCTCGAATTCCAGAAACTTACAGTGGAGATGACCAGGGTCAACCCGAGTTTATTACTGGAAAACCTCTGTGTATATGTTTCCAAGGTATCGCAGAGAAATTGCCCGTTCCAAGGCGTAACCCATCGTCATTTGTAGGGACGAGCCGCCCACTAAAGCTGACTATGAGGAAATACAAGGAGCCTTATGGCAACCCGAAATCATTTTTAAAGAGCTAAAAGATGCGCCAGCCGGCCCTTTCCCTTGAATGGATTGAACAGCTACACGCCGCTTCAAAGAGTCTCAAGTTTCCAAGAAAAACTACGACAGCGTCACTCGTGTCAGAAAGATGTCGAGATTTAGCGGGCCCTAGGGATCGATGCTTTGGTTTTACATTTTAAAGAGACTTGGAAGCGCTGACTCTGACGTCAAAAGGGACTGATTTCCTAGCTTCCTAATTCCGCTTAAAGTTTGAATTCTAATCTCTACGATCTATGCATTTTTTTGAGCTTGGAAAAGTGTGACATGAAAAGTGTGGTTGGAAGTAACTCACTGCAGTCCGTGAGAAATGAAAAAATTTGATAGGTAGTCGGTGTGAGAATATTATAGTGCGTGAGTATATGCATAGTCATTCGAATAAATTCCGCTATCGTGAGAGCTGTTGGCTGCCACAACATTAGGGTGGCAAGGTTGGGGTGGCAAACCTGGAACAGATGTTTTAAAAAGCCGTTAAAGGCATACAATTGTCTACAGATTTTTGGCAAGTGGCAAAGACAGCCTGGTAATACTTTAAAGCCATCTGGCTACCAGTCAGAATTGAAAATCACATAGAAATTTTATTTCCCTGGCTAAAATTGGCCATTAATTTTCGCTTACCCATCCTTTCGCGAATAACCGATAGTAGATAAATAAGTGAATGATAAAAACCATCAGTAGTGAGGCTTCAAAGGCCTAGAAATCATGTACAGGGTGTCCCAAAAAAAAGCACCCCTCCGGCATTTCGCCATATTACATCCAATCGGTCCCAAAATTGGACGAGAGGTGTATCAGACCCTAAATAACCACAATCCTGATTTATAGCCCGCCAGCTACAGTAGTTTTCGAGTTATCGTCAAAATACTGTTTTTTACGCGGTTCTTAACAGTTTTTCGGCTATCTTTTTGGACTTTGCATCGATTTGCATCGACTTCCGGCTGCGAATCCCTAATTTCGCTTAATATCGGGGGTGACTTTGCGTTACAAAAATTGTTGAAATCAACGGTTATTTCACTAATTTTATCAGAAAAAATCCCTGGGGGTAAAGCAGGCTTGCCGCTTCATTTTCACTTAATATTCGAAAGGTCGATTCCGACGAAAACCCTATGAAAAACGCATTATAAAGTTTATTTTTGTTGTATCTCGAAAATTACTGTGGTTGGCGGGCTATAACTCAGGATTGTGGTTATTTAGGGGCCAATACACCTCTCGTCCAATTTTGGGACCGATTGGATGTAATACGGCGAAATGCGAAGGGGTGTTTTTTATGGGACACCCTGTAGATTAACGCTTCGCGGATCGATACCTGCATATAGACAAAATATTCCTGCAAATAGGGATTTGGGACGAGGGCGCCATGCTTCACCATTAGTGCGTAATCTAGATAATCCTGTAAATATAGAAAAATTCCAATCAAGAAAATCAATAAAAATAGGAACGAGAATATAGAGAATTTTCAGCAGTCAAATTTCCGAAACGAGCAGTCAGCAAGATTAGTTGCTTTAAGGGGGTTGGGAAGTGTCGAAATCCACCGTTTTTATTAGGTTTCGGCAACTACATCTTGCCCCAAATGACGGAAATTAAGCAGTCTTATAACCTGATCGAGACCTAGTCAACAGAAGACTCGATTTTAGCAAGATTTGGAAGCATTAAAGGGGCTGTCAATGAATTGTTATGGTGGATTTCTATGGACTGGCCCTGGTAATCCTGCAAAGATCTGAAAAGGGAGAAATGAAAAGGATTCCTAGAGCACACCAAAGCAAAAAAAAAAAGCAAAAAGGAAAAATTACCCGGAACGCCGCGTAGTTTTGAAAGAATTTAACGGAATCGAGTGCTTGGAAAATGTGCGTAGAAAAATGTGCGAAGCCGGGATAGTAGATTCGAATCTCACATTTGATCAATTTCGTGCACCCGGCTCCCACGGCCTATGTACCAAGACGCGGAGAAACGCACATTATCCTTTCCTTTGAAACAGAGCACGAAATAGAACGAGTCATTTGCGGTTAATTAATTTCTATTTGAATAGAACGTATCTGGATGTGGTTGGGTGGGATCGGTGGAGCGGAATTAATTATTACAGCGTCCAACCTTCCCTTAGAAGGCAGAAGAAGGATGGCAAAAAAAAACTGGGGGTGGAAAGCGCTAATTTTCCCTGAAAACCATGCCGGAAATTTTGGTTTTGACCGGAAAAACAAAAACTGAGGATTCCTGGAAATATGAATCATTCGGTCGCTTGCAAACGCTGTAAAAGTATCGAGTAAAATTATCGAAAACGACCGGAGGTGGATGCGCCGGAAAAGTACGGCAGTACCCCCACCCAATCCCTAGATATCAGGAGCTTCAAGCTTCTCCAATAGACAGTTCGGAACCGGAAAGGGAAAATATAAATCTTAAATTTTTCTCGTTTTAGTCGCTAAATCTTAGTTTAAGCATTTTCGCAAATTTTTACAAACAAAAATGTCGAAAAGCGGTAAAAATATGCTAGCCGTTCTAGGCAGTAGCCGTTGCTACGCGCCACGCCAAAGGACGAATGACGAATGACAAAAATCGAATTTAGCACATTTTTCAGACTAAAATGTCTTTCCTCGTTTAAACTTGGCACGCGCTCATGGTACTGAAAATGGGAGAGCTATTTTGAGAAATGTTTGCGATAAAAAAAAGTTTTTTTACCGAATATTGAATCGAAACTGGAATGTTACATATGGGAACAGGTGCATTAAAGCGGCTCTGGCAGCACACCGATTACGGCATTTTGGGGACCGGGCAGAGACGCAGAGTTCTGTCTGCGTCTCTCCTCTGGGCGCGCTCTTTCTCTCCCTGCCGCGACGCACCCGACCGCGACGCTTCCACGAGTCGTGGAAAAAGGGGCTTGCTGCCAGACGCCCTTTAAGTATTGCGCAAAAATGTCTTTGAAAGGCAAACCCCCCGTTTATTTTTGTTATGCCGGTGTGCAAATGGAACCACTTGTAGCCAAAAAAGCCATGAGCAGCCCTTTTCAAAACTCAAGCTCTTCCTCTGGAGCAGCGTCTTTTGTAGTCAGGAGCTCTTTGATATAAAAAACACACTGAAATTCGTCAAATATGCCAGATGCTACCATAATTGTGTGTAAATGGGCAGCCAGATTTCAATTAACAGAAAAATACCCGGCGAACGGGATCACTAATTTTCTATGCAATTCACGGGGGCAATTTTGTGGTTTGATGGCTGATGAAAGAACCCAAACCTTCTGTGAAAATCAGGGTGGTACATTTTTCAAAGGGCAGTTTTTTAGAAAACTTCATTTGGAGGAACATCGAGGAGCTTGGGAGCGGCTGGCTGGAGCGCCGATACCAAGAAAGAGTCCAGTCGCAAATTTACGCTACGGGC